AATGTGAAACAATAATAATACTAGAACTGTGAACAGCTTAACCCTTGTCTTTTGAACCTTTTGATACTCCTAGTCTGTTAGCTTTCAACCCTGGTGCTCTTAACTCTTGGCTTTTGAACCTTTTGATACTCCTAGTCAGTTAGCTTTCAACCCTGGTGCTCTTAACTCTTGGCTTTTGAACCTTTTGATACTCCTAGTCAGTTAGCTTTCAACCCTGGTGCTCTTAACTCTTGGCTTTTGAACCTTTTGATACTCCTAGTCAGTTAGCTTTCAACCCTGGTGCTCTTAACTCTTGGCTTTTGAACCTTTTGATACTCCTAGTCAGTTAGCTTTCAACCCTGGTGCTCTTAACTCTTGGCTTTTGAACCTTTTGATACTCCTAGTCTGTTAGCTTTCAACCCTGGTGCTCTTAACTCTTGGCTTTTGAACCTTTTGATACTCCTAGTCAGTTAGCTTTCAACCCTGGTGCTCTTAACTCTTGGCTTTTGAACCTTTTGATACTCCTAGCCTGTTAACTTTCAAAACTGGTGCTCATCTCAAAATTCCCATTTTGTAAAGAATAATACAGAGAAAAGTTACGTATAAGGGCCTAAAAAATCGTCAGCAACACGAGCGGGCACACAAACGAAATTTTTTAGTGATTTTAAAAATTGTCGCAATCATTACAGACCCCAATATTGTCTGGGTCTAACATCTATTTTATTGACAACTTTAAGTGGCCTTATTAAGTTGTATTGGTCTTAAATTCCCCCAAAAATGATATTAATATTTCGCTCGTTATGATTTGATGCCTACAGATTTCAACAGCAGTCTTACCGATTGCGACATTTCTGCCAGTACCAGTGATCCATAAATTGGCATTTGACCGTATATGTTTGAACCAAAGTAGCCGAATTCCGAAATTAATTCCGTTATTGTAGCCCGTTCCACTATGAAATTAAAAAGACCAGATCGATAATAAATATTAATTTTTAGGGCGATGCTTATGCGACGAAGGAATTTGGTTCATATTTCTTTCCTACTAAGACTAAGAAATCTCGTGTCAGTGCCTGTTTACAAAATCACGTGTGGACTTACGTACACACGTTCCATATAATATTTGGCAAAACTGTAAATAACCACTATAAACTATAAAATATCCTTATCAGTAGGCCTACAATTTTCTTTTAATTTTATTTTGTCAGTGTGGGCTTGTGAAGAAATGCCAACATGAGATTAAAGCAACCTACAATTTGTGAACAAGAGATTAAATTTTGATAAAGTGGGAAGAGCCTTGAATTATTAACGCAATAAAATAACAACTTGGTTGTATATATATTACAATACCAAGTATTGGCAATTCAAGTTCATAACCTCGTATCAATAATATTATCTATTCGTTTGGTTTCATTCTCATTAGGGCTAATTCCCCCATTTGAGCTAATATTTTCCCCTTAGGGCTCCTAGCTCGAGCTACCTCTCATTGTGTCATTGGTCCTCGAGAAATATAACTCCGTAGTAAAATTGTTGAAGTTAAGAAATGGTCAATCCATTTCAGGTGTATGTGGCCAAGTGTGACTGGTGTAACAGGTGTGATAGGGAGCCAGCTGTCCAGCTGTACATGAGTTTAGTACCAACACAAAACGAAACCCGAAATCCAAATCAACATTTTCATTTTGGTGTCGCATTGGTTGCAGCTAATGAACTTTTCACATGAAAAAGTATATCAATCATAAGTGAGTAAGTATTTCATAATGAAAAGTGGTACCGGATGCTGGTGGTAATTTGTACCATCGTTTCAAATTCATCCACACGAAACAAAAGACTGGATGAGCTTTCCTCCTTTCTTCTGGACAGAAAATATCCACAAACCCTGATCACAGATGGGATTTGAAGG